GTGGCTGGATTGGCATGGAAGAGTGGACCTGAAAATGCCCAGCCGCTGGCTTTCTGTAGGCCGGGCAGCGGGACAGATAGCCCATCTCTCTCTAGCTGTGCTTTGCGGGACACCTCGTCCCGTTTCACCTCTTGCTGCTTGTTTACCCACCACCAGTTGCTGGGGCAGCTCTTAAACAATGGCTCCAGTCCAGATGCAGCTTGTTTGGCCCGATACTACCAGGTAGCAAACCCTAGCTGCAGCACTTCAAATGCTCCTTTTTAAATAATACTCTGTCCTGGTGCCGGCAAGATTTGTAAAGGGGATTTATTCTCCGTCGTAATGAGAGACTCACTGCAGGCTCCTTTGAGCCACATTGCGTTAAGCTTTTGCAGATGACAGCACTTAAGGTTTTAGTCTCGTTTATCGTCCCAGCTGTGCGCAGAGCCCAGCGTTGCTATTTTATGTGTTTTCAGGCTTTTCCCCTCAGACGCACGGTGTGGGAGGCTGAACCCGGGAGCGGGCTTGCTGTTCCCTCTGCCAGGGCAGCGGTCGGGCTGTTTAAATGCTGGTTTAAAGTGAGCCGCCCTATGGAACTGCCGTTCTGGTGGCTGGCTGCTTCTCTCCTTCCACGGCCCCTGCTCCTGTTTCCGTTCAAAACGTCAGTCCCTCTTGGTCCGGTCGTTAGGTGGAGATTAGTTTGGTCTCTGGAGCTCAGAACGAAAGCAGTCACTGGGGCGAAAGGGAGCGTGTCGGGGTGAGGCACAGAGATGTCTGTGTGGTGGTGGCTGGTACAAAGGGACATGGTGAGAAGCGGGTTTGGACGGGGCTGTTCTTTTGCAGCCTGTTTTGCTGCACTAATAAAATCCTGCAAGAACAAGAGTGTGGCCTGTTTTCGTGAAGGGCGGGGAAAGGGCTTGTCGCATCCCTTAAGAGTCTCTACTTCCAGCTTTCAAATCCACGCCCAGCAAAAGACAGTAGCAGCCTCCTCCGCCCCGGATGGTCTGTTGAGCCCCACTTCTTACTGAGAGCAGGGGACCATGTGGCCATGCAGGGAGCTGCCTGGCCCCTTGTGTCTCTGCTGTTTTACCAGCCATCAGTGAGCACTGCAAATAGCGTCCTCGCGGGGGGGAGAAGCACCTTAGGCCTCTTGCAAGTGAGCCTGTGCTGCCGCCCGCCCGCCCCCCCCACATGCTTCATTCTGACATTTGTCAATTCCACCTGGCGCTGCAGTCAGCCCTGCTGGCTCAGGACTTGCTCCCTCAGTCTCAGAACCGATTCAGGTCCATCCCTCTGTGCCGGCGAGAAGAGATCCGAGCACCCACCCCTCCCATTGCCTTTAGCTGGAGGGGGAAGTGCTGTGCCCTCCTGAAAATCGGCCATGGTCTCTCAGCTTCCTCGAGGAATAAGGCAGCGTCTGTCTGTCTCCCACTCTCACTTGATTTACAGTGCATGGGAGCTCCGAGTGCTCGATGCCTCTGAAACGCAGGCCCCAGGTAGGGCAGGCTGGGCCCCCAAAGCAGGGAACACGGAAAGGCTGGGCTGAGAGAGCGATGGCCCTGCTGCAGAGCCGGGGTGCTGGGTTGGATTGAAATATTAAGATGCCTGGATTATGATCGTACCAAGCCCAGCAGCATTAGAGAGACCACTCAAGCAGGAGCTCTGTCAGCCACCGAGCGCTCCCTACCCCCTTCATCAGGCCGGGCGCGGACCCTGAACCCTCTCCAAAAGCCCTGGCACTGATGGTGTCCCCGGTGTGCTGGGAAGAGTGCTAAATTGGGGCTGGCTTGGACCTGCAGTGCCAGCCTCTGTGCATTAGCCAACCCCCCTTTATGGAAAGTGTTTTGCCAAAGCCCGATGAGGGAGATGGCAGCAGTGGGGCCGTTGTGAGAACATCAGAGCGGCGGTCATAAAGCAGCGTACACCTAAACCACCCAGCAAGAGCTGCAAGGCGTGAGCTGACGGGTCATGCAGGGTCTGTAGTCTTGGCAGGTCAGGCACCTATAAATAGACTGGACAAGCCACATGCCTTGAAAAGGCGCCAACTGGTACAAAATGTTGCCGCATGCCTCCCTAGCAAAACAATTGGCTGTGAATGCATCGTGCCAGTGCACCGTCCTCGGCCCTGGCTCCCCAGTGAATACCCAGGCCAGCTCCAGGTCTCCGGCTCTGCATACGGGCCCTCCGCTGGCCTCCATGAGAGCCCACCGTTCCTTCTGCCCCCGTGACGTCCCACAGCACCTCTCGACCCAGCAAGTCAATTCTCCTCTAGACTCAAGAGGGAGGGAGTTATTTCTAAACACTCGGGAGGCATCCGTATTGATCCCAAGAGGGCATCTCGACAAGGACCAACCAGCGAGTGGCCAGAGTTGCTGGCAGAGCATTACGTCGGGTTGGGTTTTCAGAACTACGTTTCACCTCCCGGAGAGTAGCCAGCACAATGGCTCACAGACGACCCAGGCTTTCCAGCCAGCTAATGCAGGGAGCCTTGCCATGACGACACCTGTTCCCCGCTGCGTTTGATCAGTCCCTGCTGGCTGACCAGAGCCCGGGGGAGAAAACGCTGCTCAAGCATTGCAGGAGAAATGCTTTGTCTCCTACCAGTAGAGAAGGGGCATCAATTCAAGCTGCCCCAAGGGGGTTGTCTGTTCCCGCCGGGATGGGAATAGGCCAAAAATAAGCCGTCGAAGTCATATGCAGAGAAAGGGTCTCAGGTAACGATACTGAATGCTGGCCACTCCCGCTCATGTGCAATAGCTGAATAAGTGTGATCCCCACTGTATAGGCTCGGGGTGAAGTGATTCTCCAAAGCTCATGGGAGAGGGAGAATGAGAGCCCAGAAGTTGTTGTTTCCCAGGTCCACGAGGGCACCTGATGCTTTACGGAGACAGGTTATCCTAGAAAAACCCAGGTTTCTCCATTTATTAAAAGGAAACTTAATTCACCTCCACTGAAAGGCCAGCCCTGGCCACAAGAAACCTAACAAGCTCTGTTAAGGAGATATATGAGCTGCCTCTTTTATAAGCCTAGTAACTTACCCATAATTCCCTTTCTTAAAGGAGAAATTCATCATTTCCTCAGCTGACCATGGGGGAAAAAAACTGCCTTTGATGCATCTGTGTCATATGGGGCAGGAGAAGGAGCAGGCAGGCGGCCTCCACACAGCAAGCGGTAAGGGCCCCGGGCCACAACATCACTGGGGTTAGGGGAATCATGGTAAAACAGCAGGGGGGGCTCCTTTGAAAGCACTTAGCCTTTAAAACTACTGCTGGGTTTGCACTCTGCTTTGGGGGCTTGACCTGGAGAAGGTTGCTACAGGCCAGCCCTGCATTTTCCTGGGGAGTCGGTTGTCCCCTCACAGGGGATTAGGAGCCAGGACTCTTGGCTTAGCCACTGACTAGTGCTGGGACCGTGAGCGTGTTTACCCCTCTGTAAAATAGGGCTGATGCTGAGTCCGGCTTGGTTAGGGGTCTGAGGTCCCTCTGAGCAACACGTGTCCTGGTTTTAGAAGCCTTGGGCTAATTTCTCCCCTGCACATATGGGGTTCGGTGTGAGCTGCACCCCCCACCCCTCGACCTTTGCACCCAAGTGCTGCAGCACGGTCTGTGCTAGACGCTACAGACCCTGGTAAGGAAAGGAAAAGATGCGTGGGGTGGGGCTGGCTGGGCAGCGGCTGGTTAGTTGGGAAATCTGCCTCGAGAGGTAACCCCTTACAGGTCTGTGGCACTGGAAGACCCCCACCCTCCACTTGTCCCATGTCCCTGGGAACCTGCCATCAGCTAGTGGGTAGACGGGTGGCCAAGCAGGGCTCAGAAATGGACAGTGAGCTGGTCCATGTATTTGTTTGCACTCGAGAGCTAGTTAATTAACTGACCCGTACCATCTAAGTGCGCGCCGGGCTTGTCTGTGTTACCCCGCGATCCTAGCCCCGTTACCCGCGGCCTCGTTACTCCAGTCGCTTGCTCGTGCTGCTGCTCTCATTTGTTGCATCTGGTCCTGCATTCAGTCGTCTCGCTTCGAGGTGGGGACCGCAGGTTTGTATGCGTCTGTACAGCACCCAGCACCACGCAGCCCTGATTCTGAATGGGGCCGCTGACCCCTGGAACAATTCCCCAAAGAGCTCCTGGGGTGGTTTGGCACCAAACCCTCCCGCTTCCCGACGCACCTGCCCAGCTGCCAGCGGCCCAAAGGGAAAGTCCCATTCCTCGATTTAACGGGGAACCCCACGGCCACCAGGAGCTGATCTGATGGTTTAATTGACTTCCTGTGTCAGTTAGCGCAATGTGGGAGGGCCGTGGCAAGAATGGGTCACGGCGCCCAGTAGGTTCCGGACCTGAGCCCGGCATACTCCTTCCTCGTGTCCGAACGCTTTGCCTCGGTCCGCTCCCCCGGCTTGTGTTGGGTTTGAATCGTTCACTGGCTCCTTCTCCTGCCTGCCCTTGTGACGCTGGGGCTGTCGTGGTTTCCCAGCGCCAGGTACCGTAGAGTTCAGGGTGCGAAAAGCGCGCGTGCCTGCTGCGACGTGGGTTCTGCAATGGGCCCAGTCAGTGCTGGATTTTACAGTGACCCGGGAGAGGTAGGGTGGCCTAGTGGTTGGGGCTCTAGCTTAGCACTTGGGAGACCTGGCTTCAATTCTCTGCTCTGCCACCGACTTCCTGTGTGACCTTGGGCATCTCCCTTAGCTCCCCCTCTGTACAATGGGGATACCTGCCCTGCCTCCGAGGGGTGTTGCATTGAGGATTGGGAGGGGCTCAGACACACTGGTGGCGGGGCCACGCGCGCACCTAAGATAAACAGAAAGTACGTCAGACTCCAGGTTCTCCAGTTGCCTCGTGAAAGCAGCGTGTGTGAAGCCAGGCGCCGAGCGCCATCCCAGCCACCAAAAGGAGATCCGGCGTTTGCGAGGCAGCGGCAGCCTGTGCCTCGCTGTTGGGATTTCCGTGACTCCAGGGGGGAGCTGCTGGACTAGTCCCAGTGTCTCTGGCATGGCAGGGCTCCCAGCAGGTCTCTTCTAGGCCTCCTCAGCTCATCTCGAAGAACATGAAGTTCTGGGAAACAGTGAGAAGAGGTTACAAACAGGCTTCCCTGGACATGGGGGGGGGGATCCCTGTGTTCCACACAAAGATCGAGGGGGCGTCCTATGCGCCTGACTTTACCACTCCTCTGAGCGGGGGATGGGGAAATATAATAGAGGGGCATGAACCCAAGAGCGCTGCCAGCCCAGTGCCCAGCGGCTGCAGCTTAACGGGCACCTAGTGGAGCGGATTGCAGCTACCCTCCTCTGCAGTACAGGGGGTCGTGGGAGACCGGTCCCAGCCCGCCGGGCTCTGCCTTGATCCAAGCGATCACCACCTGGGCCGGGGGGAGCGAGGAATGTTTAAGCTCCACGGGTGGCACAGGCCGCGCCGGAGAACTCTGTGGCCAGCCCAGCCAGATCTGCAGCCTCACGGCTCCACCAGACACAACCAGCCACGTCCTATGCTAGGGGTAACCGGCTCCCCCAGCTGGCGTGAGACCGGTCAGCTCAGTCTGCTGTCTGGGGGGGCGTGACGCTGCCACGATGCATTGCCCAGCCCGCTAAGCGGGCAGAATCCATGTGTCCATGGGTTTCACTGCCCCCTACTGGCTGACCGGTTGTGTGGTGAACATGTCGCCCTCTGGTGGCGGCTGGCTGCAAGAAGCGAAAGCCCTAATGCGGCTCAACAGGCGGGAGCGTCCCCCTGGGTTACGGCTAACGAGAAAACACACTGATGCTGCTGCCTGGAGCGCTGTGGTTGTGCAGCGCCCTGCACGGCCCGGGCTGGAGACGGTACACTCCGTGGAGCGGGGGCCAGTCGAAGCGAGGTGGCTAAGGACATGACAGCTGATGGGGGAGGCGGGGGGAATGGCGAGGAAAAGGCAATGCGGATCCTGCCTGTGCACAGTCGTCCCCAGCTCAGTGCCCGGGCAGGTGTGTGGGCTGCGGGGAGGATGGTGAGGAGGAGGGCTGGCGGGGGGCGAGGAGCTGCGTTGTCTTGGGCCTAGTGTAACCAGCCGCCGGAGGGGAACTGAGGCAGCGAGCTGGCGGGGGCGGGGCAGTGAGTTTTGGTAAAACCACGCCATGCTGGGAAGCAGCCAGGAAAGCTCGCTACGACCCCCTCAACAGAGCTGTTCGCTAAGGGGCAAGCTGAACCCGGGCGCCCTGCTGCCAGAGGTCGCTGGCGAGGCCCTTTCGCTCCTGACCCCTCTGGTTGTTCGCCGGGGTAGGGCTGGACGGTTCAGTGTCTCTGGCCCACGTGAGCCGCTGGCAGGGTGGCCAGCCCACGAGTAAGAGCAGGGGGCAGAAGGCACGGAGGGGAGGGCCGGCGCATGAGCGGGCGAGGAGGGTTCGGCGGCTGGCACTTACCAGGAGGAAGGCTGCTGCCAGCAGGAGGGCGGTGTCCTCGGCCCCCAGCTTTGCTGAAACTGACAGAGAGATGGTGGGAGGGCGCGTTGCCCAGAGCTCAGCTACGGGTACAGGGGGCGATGCCAGCGCCCTCCTGGCCCCAGAACAGCCCCACTGCTCGGGTTCGGGGGCCCCTCTCCCACATGGGATGTTCTGCTGCCTCAGGGGGCAAGCGGCCCATCTGCATCCTCTCCTGCCAGGTGCTACTCCTCTCCCTGGCAAGGGCATCCGAGAGGAGAGCCTCTGCTCTCTGGGTGGCCTAGACACAGCAGGGCTCTTCACCACCCCCCCGGGGCTCTCCCTGCAGCTCACTCTATGGGTGAGGCCAGTTCCCTCGTCCTTGCTGGAGCCCAGGTGCTTTGGGGGCAGATGCTGGAGAAGGAGCAGCTGCTACTAGGCACGGGAGGAAATTAAACCAGTGCCCATCTCCACGGTGACTGTGCCCCCAGAGCCCTGCCAGCCTGCCCATCCCAGAGGCGGATGCTGCTGGGGGACTCTCCCTGGCAGCCTGGCCGCCCTGCGCTCCCCACTTACTGTCCACCCCGAAGAACTCATGGTCCATGTTCCGGTCTTCATTGAAACCTGGCCACCTCTTCCAGATCACTGCCACGGGGCTGCCGGCGCGGGAGGTGACCTGGGCGGGTGGACAAGGACGAGCAGCTCAGTGCCAAGGCCGTGCTAGCAATGGGCTGGGGCTGGGGACATCCCCAATGGGGGTTCTAGCAAGGCCCCAGCTTAGCATCGTCTCTAGACTACATAAGAACATAAGCGCTGCCCTACTGGGTCAGACCATGACCTATCTTGCCCAGTGTCCTGGCTGCATCCATGGCCAGTACGAGCGCTTCGTGGGGGGGTAGGGGGGGCTGTTCTGAACAGGGCAATTATGGAATGATCCACCCCTGTCTTCCACTCCCAGCTTCTGGCAGTCAGAGGTTTAGGGTCACCTTGAACATGGGGTTGGGTCCTGACCATCTTGGCTACTAGCCATCAACAGACATGAACTCCTCCAGTTCCTTTTTGAACCTAGTTATGCTTTTGACCTTCACAACATCCCCTGGCAAGGAGTTCCACAGGTTAATTGTGCATTATGTGAAATACTTCCTTTAGTTTGTTTGAAACCTGCTGCCTATTAATTTCATTGAGTGACCCCTAGTTCTTGTGTTATGGGAAGGAATAGATAACGCTTCCCTATTCACTTTTCCCATGCCAGTCATGATTTTATAGACCTCTGTCATACCCCCCATTAGTCGTCTCCTTTCTAAACTGAAATGGGCCCTGTCTTTTTAATCTCTCTTTGCATGGAGGCCATTTCGTACCCTTGACCATCTCTGTTGCCATTCTGTGAACCTTTCCCAGTCCCGCTGCATCCTTGCAGAGGTGGGCTGACCAGCTCTGGACACAGTATTCACAATCTGGGTGCTCGTGGACTTTACACCAATTACTTCTGTCGTGTTCCTTCCTGCCCACGTTCACCCACACTGTATAGCCCGCCTGGCAAAGGAGTGCAGCTGCCAGCTTCAGGATGGATGATACGTAAGAAGCCCGTGTTGCTGTCCAGAGAGTGTAGACAATCCAATGGAAACCAGAAAGCCCCACCCCCATCCACCCCAAAACGTCTAAGGTCTGTGTTTGGCGGGAGCCCCAGGGAGACGCGCTGCCCTGTTCCACCCGCCCCCCTTACCTGGAACTCCTGGTTGGAGGAGCAGCGGCTGGCCGCGCAGGAGCCTCGGATCCTCATGGTGGCTGCGCCGTGGAGGTCACGCAGGTCCCAGAGATGGGCAAGGATGCCCCACCTAGACATAGAGCATGGTGTGTGGTACAGCCAGGCCGTGGGCAGGGCAGAGAGCCCCGTGCCAGCCAGAGGGGCGGCTGGAGCCCCTGGACTGCACTGCCGGGCATGGGGCAGGGTCTGATCACTGGTCCATCCACCCCCCCTGCAGTCTGGCGCCTCAGGGGGGGCGCTGACCCCGGTTCACCCACGCTGCCCCCACCAGCCACTCGTCCGCGTGGGGCCCGGCTCCTCTCCGTGCTGTGGAGCAATCCCTTCCTGAGCCCTGGTGCCCGAGCCCACGGTGCCCTCACCTCTGCCGCACGCTGCCCACGAGCTGGTCACCGGCGGTGAACACCCGCATCTCCGTCCGGCAGCAGCCCAGGCAGCTGGCGCCCGCCCCGAAGGGCCGTCGGAGCCACAGGACATCCTGGCCTTGCGGGTCCTGGAGGCGGATGCGGCAGGAGCGGGCAGGGCCACACAGGTGCAGGCACAAGCGGCTGGTTTCTGAGGCGGGCACAGAGAACGGTGCAGACCTGGCGGTCATCACACAAGGAGACTGCGCCCCGATCCTGGGGCAGGGGGCTGCGCTGGGGGCCTGCGCCCCGATGCTGGGGGAGGGGGCTGCGCTGGGGTCCTGCGCCCCGATGCCGGGGGAGGGGGCTGCGCTAGGGGCCTGCGCCCCGATGCTGGAGGGCAGGGGCTGCGCTGGGGGCCTGCGCCCCGATGCCGGGGAGCGGGGGCTGCGCTGGGGGCCCGCGCCCCTATGCCCGGGGGGGGAGCTGTGCTGGGGGCCTGCTCCCCTGCACTGGGGGGCTGTGCTGCTCCCCACCCTGAGCCAAGGCAGAGCCACAGGGGATGGGAACGGAGGGGCCGTGGCTCGTGAGCTGTGACCAGGATCTCTGGCTCAGGCGCTGCGGGAGGGTATTGTGGGGGGTGGAGGGGGGGGAGAGGCACATCCTGCTGGGGGATGGGCTCTGCCCTTTCCATGGCTTCCTATCCAGACCCTTTCCCCCCATTTGGGAGGGGTTTGTGCCCCTCCCACCGTGGCTGTTGACAATGAGGCGGGTGAATGGGCCGGGGTGGGGCACCAGTTACCTTCGATAGCTACCAGCAGCCCCTTTGCCTGCGCGGTGCCCACCACGTACGTTCTCCCTGGGTCCCCGGCGAACCCTGCAAGAGCGACAGCGTCTGAGCCGTGCCCCCTCCGCCCCCCCGCATCTCCCTGCCCTGCTTGTGCCAGGCTGGGTGGGCAGGAAATGTCGCTAGCCGGCGTCGCGCCTTTAGATTCCTCACGCAGGGCCGGCACGCAGCACCCCTGGGACTGGGCCGGGGCGTGTTCATGGCCCCATGGCCTGGGGCTGACGGGGGCCGGTGGGCCCATCACACGTTGGGTTAAACGCTGTAAGTACCAGAGATCCCACACAGCGGGGACAGGTCTGTCATTCAGCCTGCGCGGAGCAGGTGACGGGCCCATGACAGGAGGCAGTTCCCTGGCGCATCCTCCGCCAAACCAACACCCCCCATCGTTCCCCCCTTCACCCCTTGGCCGCTCTGCTCCCCTCTTCCTGCTCCTCTGCGCTGCAGGTTCGGGCCACGCTGATTTGGGGCCATCTGAACCCCAGAGACAAGCGGGTCGGAGCCGAGATTGGGGGGCGCTCCTCCCCTCGGAGACGGCCCCAGCGCACTTGGGGGCCTGTTGCTATTGGCTCCCAGGCCTGGCTGGTGCTGGCTTTTGTGATCTGGGCCCCTGGCTCAGCGTGAACCCCCCAGACACTGCCAGGGGGCACCAGCTTCCGCTCCCTACTGCCGGGCGGATCTGAAGAGAGGAGCTGGGCTGAAAGGCTCTGCCCCCCGCCCCCCCGGGTCCTGGGCGCTGGGATCGCGGCAGGGCTCTCATAAGGAGGAGGTGGGGGGTGAGTGCTGTGAGGGCCACACTCGGGGGGCCGAGGCCAGCAGATTGGGCCTCGCAAGGGCCTTACCGCGTAGCCCAGCTCGGGCGGTGATGCGCAGCTGGGAGACGCCGGCCAGCACCTGCAGCCCGAGCGGTGGAACGTCGTCGTCCTCCTGAACCCGCTGCAAGCTCTGCTCCGGGCTCCGTCTGCGGGCTCTCCTGCCCCGCCAGCCCAGCCGCGGCAGAGGCGACTCGGTGGCTTCCTCCCCGGCAGTCCCACCCCACTCGCTTCCCGGCCATCTCCGGCCCTCGAGTTGGTGGCCAGGGTCCTCGGCACTCGAAGGGGCATCCGGGCTCCCCTGGCTGCTCCCAAAGTCCGGCTCTTGAGCCTGGTTAGCCCGGCTTGTGCCTTCCCAGCTGGGGGACGTCCCCCCGGCCTGGAGGCCCGGAGCCCCGTCCTTCTTCCTCAAGGACCTCGCCGGCGCTTGGATGTGCCGCTCCCGCGTCAGGTGCCCGAAGGGAGACGGCTGGGAGCTGAGCGCGGCCATCCCGAGGGGCCGAGAGCTGAGGGCAGGCCCCGGGCGGCAGAGGGCTGCAAACTCCCCGGCCCCTCTGCAGCTGTGCCGCTAGCCCCTTCCAACAGCGCAGCCCCCACCGGCGCCCCCTGCCCCTCCCGCCCGCCGGCGTTGCCATCCCAACCAGCCGGATCTCCCCCATTGTGCGGGCAGAGCTCTGGCCCCGAGGGGTCAGCGAAGGGCAGGAGAGAGCTGCAGCTTTCCCGGGAGGAGGGGCCCGTCGGGCGGGCGGGGGGGGATGTTAATCAGGGCAGCAGGGGAGACCTGGCAGTGTGACATGACAGCCAGTGCCCAGGGCTGCCCGTTGGTGCCATGTGAGCCAGGCCAGGCCAGGGTGCCGCCAGGCCCACGGGGGCAGGAGAAAACGGGATCGCTTGCGAATCTGCGTCGGTGCCAAAGTGACTCGACGCCCCCAGTATCCAATGGGGCATGTTGAATCCTCAGCCCGGATCCTGGCAGCGCTGGGCTCCCCCTGCGCCCCAGAAAAGGGGCAACATCCTAGGGCTGCTGGCTCTGGCACGGCTGCTGGCCAGCCACATTGCTAGGGCACCCCATAGCCCCCCCCCCCGGGGGCACCGCCCCCCCCCGCCAGCCCCGGGCCCCCGGGCCCCCCCCTCGGGCACCCCCCCCCCCAAGTGACTGTGGCTTCCTCACACGGCAGCGCCTGCTGTGGCAAAGCAACCATGCCCTTCCCCCCATGAACCCCATGTCGGACTCTGGCTCGTTCACAGCCGGGACGGGAGGTTGAGCAAACAGCTGTTCTGCTTGCACGGCGCTTTCCTTTCCTCCGGCGCTTTGGGGGCGTCTCCCGCTGGGGCTCTTTGGGTGGCTGCTCCTGGCCCCGCGGGGAAGGCTGGGGGGGCTTTGCTCCAGGATCGAAGCCGGAGGAGGAAGCGGATCAAGGCGGTGAAAGGGCTTCACCGGAATCTTCGCCCTGCAAATCAGGTCTGCCAGATTGGTGGCTTTGGCCCCTTTCTGCCCCGGCCCCCTTGTGCCTGGGTGTGGCAGGAGAGAAGGCCCGATGGGGGTATTATGGACCTTCTGGGGCCCCCCAGCTCATTGCCCTTACACTGCCTGCCCCCCAGCCAGCCGGGGATTGCGGCTAAGTGAGCCAGAGGCCCTCTCGGTTCCTGAGATCTGTGAGGGGCCTGATCTGAACCCCTCGCCTCTCCTGCTGCAGCGTGCCCCTGCCTGGCCATGCTGCTCGGCCGGGCGGCCCCGCTGGAGAGGGCTCCATGGACAGAGCCTCCCAGGCTGCCTTGGGCCGTGACTCTGCCCACCTCCCCAGCGTGCGCGGGCCCCCGAATGCAGCGTGCGAGAGGCGTGCTCGGAGCAGCAGAGGCCGAGGCGGCTTGGCGAGCGCGTGCTGGGTGCCCTGGAGCCGGCTGGGAACTGCCTGGAGCAGCGGCTGGGGAGGGGGGGGTTTGCAAACGGATGTGTGAGGCGCGTCTGGCTGAACCCAAAGGGGAATCAGTCCTCCTGGTGCAGCCGTTACTGGGCATGAATGGTCACGGTGGCCTCCTTCCCTTGCCGGCTGGCCGAGTGTGGCGGGGGCGGAGCGGGCGCGTGTGCTCCCGGATCTGCAGCGTGCCCCAGGACTGACTCAACCCCCCTGGTGTCTGGGCCAGGCAAAGAGCGGGTTAACGGCCACTCGAGGGGGAAGGGGCTGGCCAGAGCTGCCCTGCAAAGGAGGAATTAATCCAGCTGAGCATGTTGCAAACCACTAATGCCCCCTGGAATGCCAGAGCTCCACCAGCCAGGCTGGCGCCACAGGGACCGCAGTGTGGCCGGCGAGCAGGTGCTCTGGGGCTGACCTGCTCACCCTAAAGAACAGGAACCCCACAGCTTGGGCCAGTGTGCCCCCGGCAGTGGCTGGCGTCACTGGGCACTCAGCAGCCTTGGGACCAGCAGCGGGCAGCCTCCCCCACCCCATCTCCCTCTGCCCGGCCGCTTCTGGGAAGCCATGGCCAACACCTCATGGTGCAGCAACTGGAGACGGACCCATCTCCCCTTGTGACGTTATGAGTGCGATATAATCTCTCATTGAAAAGTGACAGGGCCAGAAAGAGTTAATTACCTCCCAGACTGACCTGACCCGTGGCCGAACTTCAGAGACTAGTTAGGAAGATCTGTAAATGAACAGCGCTTTGAAATGCAGCCGCGTTGCTGGAGATAGAAGGGGAGCTGTTTGCTCAGGTCTTGTGATATAAGCAAACAAGTCTTGTCTATTGCTATCGCTTGGATTCAAAGATCAAAAAAGGAGTATTAGCATTTAAGAAGACACTTGAGTGAAATAGTATTATTGTCTCTAGGTCTCTTTGAAGGCTGTGGTAACCTGTATCTGAACTGTTTAATGGATAAATTACCCTGTGCTAATTGCCAGGATGTTTGGAAGAAGGAGAGTGAAGCCTATTGTTTTCTCAGACCAAAAGGCTGCTGGAAATGTATAAAAACCCTGGGACATGATCCTTCTTCGTCTCAGACCTGCTTTGGGTTTCAAGAGGGGGAAACCTTAAGCCACAAGGCTTGAGATCCCCAGTCTTTGACTGGAGTCACCCTGAATATGGACATTGGACTATTTTTAAAAGGACTTTTGGCAACTACAAGCTCATCTCTGCTATGTATCTGAACCTCAAGAATTGAATTCAAGTCTGTCTGTATATTGATCTTTTAACCAACACTCTCTCTCTTTTCTTTTTAAATAAATTTTAGCTTAGTTAAGAAGAATTGGCTATAAGCGTGTATTTGGGGTAAGATCTAAGTTATAATTGGACCTGGGTGTGTGGCTGATCCTTTGGGACTGGAAGAACCTTTTCTTATATATGATGAGATAGGATGCTGATTACTGAAAATCTTATCTGACGTGTGTATTTGGATGGAGGCCTGAGGCTGGGCACTTTAAGGGAACTCCGTTGTCTGGACTTCTGAGTAACCAGTGAGGTACTACAGAAGCTGTTTGGGGCTGGTTTGGTAAATCCAAGTATTGGAATATCCACCAGAGTTTGGGGTTGGTTTGCCCCGTTCTGTTTGCAGTTCACCTTAATTGAGTGACCTCAGCTGGCTCCCACGGGCAGCACCGTCATACCCCTCCCCACTTGCTCCCCACCCCCAGCGACCCCCTGGCCTTTCCCTGCTGCCAGCAAAGAAGTCCAGCAGCCGTTTGGAAACGCGGTGGTGTTTACTCCGACGCCTGGCTCACATGAAACACACGCGGCCGCCCGAGATCTCCCGCCAAACCCATGCGAGCCTGCCCCGCTCCCCTCGCTGGGCCGTCGCCACGTAGCTCCCCAGGGGGCAGACAGGCTCCTTGTCCCTTGGGGTCCCAGAGCTGCCAGCTGCAGTGTTTGGGGGGGCCCAGATTCAGCCAGCGTCCTTCAGCTCACTTGCCCCTTACATGTAAACGAGGCAAGCAAGAGGCGCAGCTGGGCACAGTGCAGGCACAGAGGGCTCCGGACTCTCCGGTTCGGCTGCCATCTCTCCCCGCGGTCCGGGTCATTTCCGTCTGCGGCTTCCACGAGCAGCCCCGGCTGAAGGATCCAGCCGCAGGCTCCGCCCTGCAGCAGCTCTGTGAGCCCCGCCTGGGACACGGTGCCTGCGGGCATGGAGCCCATGAGGGGAGGCTCTTGTGCAGACGTCCTGGGCTCGCCCACCCCAAGCGGGGTGCTACGGCAGGTAGCGCTTGGGGTCCCCGGGAAAGGGCGCTGCTGGCGCCTGGTTGAAATGGGCCATCAGGAAGATGCTGACCGTCCCCAGGATGAAGAGCGAGGCCATGACCAAGAAGCAGACGCGGTCAATGACTCTCCCCACCAGGATCCACTCCTCGTTCTCCTGCGGGGGAGAAAGAGACACATGCTCACGGCCAAACCTGCGGCGGGCTCCCGCTGGGCCCATGTCCCCCGGGGCCTTTGGGCTTCGGACCACGGGCAGCCACCACTGAACTCAATCAAAACTGCGCTCGCTTCCCCTGTGGCTAAACATGGCCCCTTCTCTCCTTCCCCCGCCCCCACCCCATTTCCCTTTCCAGCTTGGTCTCTGACCTGCTTCTCCATATGCGAGTCCCTGCCAATTGGGCCCCTCTGTCCCCACTGCCCTGGGTCCTCCTCTGACCTGAGCCCCCTGTGACGTTATTGACACAAACTGGGACCGTATCCATCATTTTTGCAACCGAGGTCCTGTAGTGGCACCAAATATTGGACAAAGGTTGTCATATGAGGCGTCTATGGAAAGATTATGATTATGCTATCTGTGTGTGTGTATCGTTTTTGTAGCTGAAGTTATGAATATTGGCTCTGTACTTGTATCTCAATGTGTTTTGATTGTAAGTAGCCTTAGTGAAGCATTTGGTCAGCTTCTTGAGAAAGGAATTTGCAAGTTAAGTGCCCAGTCAAGAAACACTTAACTGACAATAGGACTTGGGAGACTCCAATCCACATAAGAAGTCTTCCTGGGGACATTCAAGTTAGCATGTGAGCAGTGGCTGCCACCTGTAAAGAACTGAGCCATTCATGGACATGTGACTTGCCCATGTGACTCCAGGCTCCATCTTGCTGCTGTGATCTTCCACAGGGCAGAGGACATAGAAGGCCCTAAAAACTCCTCCATTTTGTCTTCAATCCTGCTTGTGACCTCTGGAGGAACCTTGCTACAAACTGAAGCTCTGAACAAAGGACTGAATGACCCATCCCAGCTGTGGATGTACTTCAGAGACTTGATTTGAACCTGCAGTTTATTCCATCACTGCTACAAGCCTGAACCAAGAACTTTGACATTACTGTATGTAATTGATTCCATTTAACCACTTCTAGCTCTCATCTATATATTTTTCCTTTCATGAATAAACCTTTAGATTTTAGATTCTAAAGAATTGGCAACAGCGTGATTTGTAGGTAAGATCTAATTTGTATATTGACCTGGGTCTGGGGCTTGGTCCTTTGGGATCGAGAGAACCTTTTTTCTTTTACTGGGGTACTGGT